CAACCACTGAAGCAAGCACATACAAAAACATTTTGTTTTGACCTGTGCCTGCAGCGATCATGTTCCACTTGATTAAGGACATAATGAGATGACCACAAAGTGCCCCACACGTCTCTTAAATCCCTAATGGTTTGAGCATTGTGCCGATCCACAGAGAAGCTTGGGCCACTGGGCAGTGAAGTTCAGGCACAATGCAGTACTTTGACTTTGTTCACACTGTTGAAAGCAGAAATTCTTTGACTCAGCAAATGATCTAAAAATGGGATCACCAAGTAAGTATAATCTGAAGTATCACATTTATAGCAAAGATTACATGAAATGATGAAAACGCTTGTGTAGAAGGAAATATTGTTTACATTTCACCAGAATGTCTGACAATGTATAACCTTCTTGACTCGGCCTGGTTAAAATAAAACTTATTCCCGTTTAAACATTTAAAGCCACATGGGTCTGATCCAGAATAAGTCCAGTGCTTTTTACATCTACATTCATGTTCATTCCACACACTTCTCTGAATCCACCTGTTGCATTAGTCCGACTGTGTGACACCCACTCAGTGCTTCCTCTTTTCACTGTGACCAGGCAACGCATAAGACGCCAATGTCTCTCCCCCATTTGAGTTTCAAACACACCACAATCATCCATTAAGCACAAAAAGCATTAGCACTTAAGATATCCACACTCACTTATAACAGATATGAGTAAATGGAGCTTGTTCTTACCGTGTAAAGCCCTATCCTGCACAAGGCAAGAGAGAGCTGCATGTGCTCCGACATTGTGGTTGACAACAAGTGTAACCCACGGCAACAAACAAGCCAAGCCTCTGAGAGTGAATGGATAGAGGAGCAGCAGGTTAACGTCAAGTCCAGCCCTTACTGTCTCACCTCCACCACTCAGCTACTGTCAGCTAATGCACTGAAAAAGAACATTATTGTTCCAGAAATAGGATGGATTACAGACTGCTGCATCACTGTTAAAAACAATAAACAAAATCCATGACACAAGTCTCAGATTAGTGTGTAAGAATCTAACAAACTGAGATTATCCGCTCTGTGGCCAATAGTGATCCAGAATAAGACTGCAAATGGGATTAGTCACCACTATGTGCCCACACTCTGTGTCTGCTCTATGCTCTATTGAGAAAACTATTCTGTACATTATTCAACAGCTCAGAGCATAAAGAGCATAAGGAGCATGTGGCACTGTGGCCTGGCTGGAAAGACTTGTCATCACTGACTGACAAACAGCTAGTGTAGCCAAAAATAAATAAATAAATAACATAGTTAAAAAAAAACATAGTCTCTGTCTCCAGTATTGAAGAAGCATCACATTCTTTTGCTTACTTATCATCAAACACTATGTGATAGGGCTGGGATATATGGTGACGAACATGAAATTGTAATCAGAGACAATTTGGTCATATACCATGAGCAACTTTCTGTTTAATGCAGCTCTAGACTCAAACCCAAACACTTTCCGCCACCCACTCTTCCAACTGATCAGCCTCCAACATACTCTGGGTGAATGACAGGTGGAGTTGACCAATCACAGTGTAGCGTGAACTATATAAACCTGTATTAACAACCAAGTGCATAAATTGTGATCTGGCTCCAAAAAAATTGTGATATAAATTTTTTGGGCATATCGACCAACTAAAAGATAGATTGAAACATGCACTATTTTTGCATAGAATTCATGTTGCACTTCACTAAAAGACAGACAACTAGTGTCATTAATAAATGATTAATTAAATGATTGTTTAGGGCACCCTTTCACTTTATGGCAAATCATGCTTCAGATCTGTACTGTGTTTTCACAGCAGTAGTCCATTAATCCTTCACTCCTTAGGCACATTGGTAGTACTTCTTTAACAAGGTATACTGAGCTTCTCTGGCTTTACCTGGCATAATCCAATGAGGTAAAGGGGGTGAGGTGTCTTGGCAAATAGCACAACAACAACAATTTGCAATGCCAGAAGGAATTGAAAATTCAGCCTTTTGTTGATCAAAGATAAAGGCCAGAACTGGTGGGTTTTTGTCCTCGTATTTTACATTTCCTTTGAGCAAGGCACTAAAGCCTTCAATCTTCACAGGGACAGGAGGATGCTGACTCAGTAGCACCTCCCAGAGGGGGGCAAACTTTACTACATAAACATTCAGCACTAGCCTAAATTAAAGACGTAGGTCTTTCCCGGCTATAGGAACAAAAATAGTGCTCAGTGTCCTCTGCTTCTGAACTGTAGAAGTACATTTTCCATTCATTTTTTTCCATTGTGTTTTAGTTGAGTAACATTTAAAAAAAGGAAAAAGTCAATGCAGTTAACCAGTTATGTGGTAACTAGTGTCCATTACTTAGTGATACAGTTTCAGAAAATGGGAAATTTTATTTATTAATAAGTCCATGAGAAATTTTCAGTATTGGACTAAAACAGATATCAGATATCCCCACCAATATTACAGTCAATGTATCACCCATCCACAATTTGAACCTCGACCTTGGGATCAGAGAACGAACCAACTGAGCTACAGCTTACTAAAAACTAACTTACTGAATGCTTTAGTCATTGCCTCTGCTGAAAATTGCAGTGTTTTCCTCTGTATTTTGTATGTACGTGCTGTTGTTATTGTTTTTTTTTGTTTCGTTTTGTTTTTACACATAAACAGACAATGGGTTTCTTTTATTGGTTAATCTACTCGTTGATCATGTCCATCTGAACTCTGGGAGGCAAAAAAGGCGCAGACTACACAGCCTCAATTATCTATCTCCTCTATTTTGCAAGAAATGGGTGAGGAAATCCCACTACATAGGAGACACAGCGAAGAGAAGAGAAGAGGAGCAGAGAAAAGAGGAGGAGAGGTGAAAAAAGTAGGGATGAGCAGAGGAGAGAGGAGCAGATAAGAAAGGAGCAGAAGAGAAAGAAGCTGATGAGAAAGGAGTAGTGGAGAGATGAGCAGAGGAGAGAGAAGCAGAGGAGGCACAGTGATGAGAGAGGACCTGAGGAGAAGGGAGTAGAGGAGCAGACACGAGCTGAGGGTCAATATACAGCCTTTCCTCGGGTACTAGTTCTATCCGAAATAACCCAGTAGTGAAGAATAAGGCTTACAGTGTCTTGCATTATTGCAGGACTTTTAAACCAAAGTCAGACCAATGTTTTTGCTTTCAGATAAATGTGTTTTAGTTTTTATGTGAAATTCAGGATTATGCAACATGACAAACATCCTTACTGCTCGCTCTATACTTGTGTTGCTACAATAATACAAACCCCTATAAAATTTGATCTGATTCCTTGAACCCTCGCTCATGTCTCCACCAAGTGTGGTTTACTTCTACTTTGCCTCCTCTGAGCTTTGGGACACCACCTAATATGGCACATTTAATTGACAGCTGAAACATGGAGGAACAAGGAGAGGAGAAGAGGAGGAGAGGAAAGAAAGCAAGGAAAGAGAATTCTGACCGACTCCACGACTGGTAGTACTTTTTCTAACGCAATTCACAACTAATATATTGTAGTGTTGCAGTCCATAGACAGGCCTAAATTAATCAGTGTAATCCCTCATTGGCCCAGGAATGTTTCATCATAGGAAAGGTTTCAAAGCTAGTCATCTCGGGGCCGTTTTTTAAATGAGGACAGTCCTCCTACCATGTGAAACTGAAGTCATTTTCAGTGGGAAGGTACTGGCCTAAGAAACTAAACTGAGAAACTGCCCTGAACTAGCTAAGTCATTAGAGCATCTCCTCTACAGCAAACTCTCAAACACAGAACAACTATCCATCACCTCTTAGGGTCCAGGACCATCCAAACCCCTCATCCAACCAGCAGCAAATGCTCTGAAAACAATGTATGCAAGTTTACTCTTCACTGTAATTGGTTAAATCCAGTTGTCACTCACTGAGAGGCTAGAGGCTGACCAATAAGAGAAGTGGGTGGGGGAAAAATACTACAGACAGTTGCAGTACAACAGCAACAGTAGAATAATTAGAGAAATAATAAATCACGATATGAACAAAACAACAAATAGTCAGGGTGAAATGATTTTTATCGTCATATCACCTAGCCCTACACTTACTTGAGTAATGGGAAATACTGAGTAAGTAATAGTAGCCTATTAATCAGGCCCGTTGTCAGAAATTTGGGGGGTCCAGGGCAAGAAGACTCACATGGGCCCCCCGTTAATATTAATTAATAGGCAGAGATTCCAATTCTAGAAGGAGAAGTGACCTCTGAAATAGCCAAGTGCACAGCTGGCCCACTGGTATGTCACAAACTTATCTTCAAAAGAGCTAACATGAGCTGTATTCATTTTTTCAAAACTGGATGGTAATTTCTGTTTGTAATAACAAGTGGACAACATTCTACTACTGCTTCTGCATAGGACTAGTAATGAATAAAGAAATGAATGTCCTATACTCAAAACAAGAGAGTTCAAAGTCCTTGTTACATCTTGGGAGGCATGTGATAAACTGCCTGATAACACTGTGGCCTCATGAGAAATGGCAGCACAAGGTTGAAGAAGTTTGGTTCCTTGTGCTTCATAAATTTCCATTGTAAGCCCAGTTACTGTTTTCCTCCCATTGTTGAATGTTGCTGGAGCATTCTAGCAGCACCCAGGCTGTTGCTCCTATTGTACACAAAATGCAACCCTATTATAAAAACAACTCTTCAGGTCTCACATATAGAGTATTAACATAAATGTGACATATACGGGTGCTTTAAATCGCTTGGACGCAGAAGTAAACCAGGTTAATAGGGTGCCCGCCTATTCCCATACCTAACAGCAGTACCTTGGGGGCTTTCTTCTCATATTTCAAATGCGGTCACACAGATCAGGGTCTGGGTCAACCAGTTATACTCATTTTACCTCCGTGGTGTACATTATTGACATCAAACAAAGTCGAGCGCTTATGGTTGGCGTAGCACACCTGTTTGTCTTGAGTAAGGTTATTACAAGACAGAACTTCATGGACAAAGCAATCCCCCCCATTTTGCTGCATTCACTTACCAGATAATCCATGTACTATGACAAACCAGTCACAGCTACACGAAGTGCCTTAATTGTAATCCCGTTTTGCCTCGGTGAAACCAAAATGTAATGGTTTTAATCCCTCGCCGCTTTGTATTCCCCGCCTTTCGAAAGGCACAGCAAAATAAAAACAGTCTTAAGAGGTTTTGCAGACTAGAAGTGTCGCCGTTTTCTTCAATACTCGCACAGATCTCACTAAAGAAGAGGCCCTCTTTGTTAAAGGTATTCACACTGCACGGTTTGGGTTGTTTTTCTTTTAAAAAGCACCTCGCCCACCGGCTCTCTTGCAATTTTATCACACAAAATCAGACGAGTGTTTGGTTGAGGAAACTGGCGAAATCTACAGCGCTACGTCACGCACGTCGCTTCCCGAACGTAACGTGTCACATGACCAAACACATGGAGGCTATTTTCGTTTGCACAGGCATGATGGTGTGACTTCTATCGATATGGCAACATATGGCACACGTCCTTTTGTTACATGTCCCGCAAATATCGTTTACTAGCAATTACATATGTCTGGACTTTTGGTATTGGACAAATTAATCGCAAAAGACACAAAGACCACACTAGATAACATTAAATTGTCGTGATGAAATATGTTATTTATATTTAATTTAAAACAAACAAACAAACAAACAAACAAAAATAATACAATAGATTTAAAATACATGATTTTCCTGAATTGCCACCTGGGGGCAGTATTTACCAACAAAACTATTAGTAGATGAACAAAACACCTATACCTCTTTTGAGACAAGTTTATTCATAAAATGTATTATTAAAAATAGAATAAAATAAAATAAAAAAGTAAATAAAACAAATGCACTTGAAGCGATTATTTGCATATGGGGTGGAAACTAAAGATTGCTTAGCCAGGAAGTTTATGCTTTAATCTAGTTTTGTGGCTTCCATTCAACACAGTGATTCAGTGATTGAAAATGAATAATGTAAATGTAAATCATATACATTCAGATTCCGCTCATAGATGACCCCGGCTGTCCTCCGCTGGGGGTGTCTGCCTGTCGAGACTCCGCCCTCGATTATCGGGCCTGATGACGCGCTGTTGCTGCGCAGCGCACCGCCTCGCTCTGCGCTCTGCTCTTGAGTCCCAAACGGAGGAGCCTGTGTGGTAGCGAAAATATCTCTGTATTACCAGGCTGCAGGATTTGGATATAAATCACCACGAGTTCATCTGTCACTTGTATTGGAGACACTGAACAGCAGGCTCTGCAAAGAGGCTGATAAAGTTAACGGGGCGAGTTTGAGGCGGAGTTTGGGGTGAGCTAGCCTGTTTCACGGCCAGTCACCACAAGCCCGCGGACCTCTTCCAGCTGCGGTGCATCATGGCGCTCCGAGCCAGGGCGCTTTACGACTTCAACTCGGAAAACCCGGGAGAAGTGTCGGTGAGAGAAAACGAAATCCTAACTTTGTACAGCGAGCAAGACATTGATGGCTGGTTTGAAGGTGTGAACAGTAAAGGGGAGAGGGGACTGTTCCCCGCTTCCTACGTTGAGATACTGAGGAACGACGCCACCTCCACGTACAACAACAACAGCTGCAACACATCTGGAGAAACATACCCGGACTCCCGTTACGCCAATGTCCCCTCTGGAGACTCGTCATTTAAGCCTCCGAATAAAGTCGAAAACTTTTCCAAACCAAATCCTCCGTCTTTCAGCACGTTTGCAGTGCCCTCTCAGCAACAGCACAGCCAGGGCAGTGACGATGACTGGGACGACGACTGGGATGACAGCTCCACTGTTGCGGATGAGCCAGGTACAGTGGGGAGATACCGAGACTATGAAGGCAATGGGTCCTCCACCTACAGCCTATCCACCACATCACACAGAGGGAACGCACAGGCCAAAGGCTCGGCCACGGTCAGTAGAAACCTCAACAGGTTCTCCACCTTTGTCAAATCAGGGGGAGAGGCATTTGTGCTTGGAGAAGCGTCTGGTTTTGTTAAAGATGGGGATAAGATTTGTGTGGTGATGGGACAATATGGACCAGAGTGGCAGGAAAATCCATACCCATTTTCATGTGCTATTGATGACCCCACAAAACAAACGAAGTTCAAAGGTATGAAGAGCTATATTTCTTATAAACTCACCCCTACCCATACTCAAACCCAAGTGAACAGAAGATACAAGCACTTTGACTGGCTGTATGCGCGTTTGGTGGAGAAATTCCCTGTGATCTCTGTGCCCCACATCCCAGAGAAACAAGCCACGGGTCGTTTTGAAGAGGACTTTATCTCCAAGAGGCAGAAGGGTCTTATGTGGTGGATGAACCATATGACCAGCCACCCTGTATTGGCTCGCTGTGATGTTTTTCAGCACTTTCTTACCTGTAACAGCACAGACGAGAAGGCATGGAAGCAGGGTAAAAGAAAGGCGGAAAAGGATGAAATGGTTGGGGCGAACTTTTTCCTCACAATCAGCACACCAACCACGCCACTAGATTTTCAAGAAGTAGAGAGTAAAATTGATGGTTTCAAAACTTTCACAAAACGCATGGATGACAGCACCTTGCAGCTCAATGCTACAGTCAATGAGTTTGCACGTAAGCAGATGAGTGGTTTCAAGAAGGAGTATCAGAGAATGGGATTTTCATTCAAAGTTCTGAGCCAGGCTTTTGAAATGGACCAGCAATCGTACTCATCCAGACTCAACCAGGCCATCTCCTTCACTGGTGAGGCATATGAAGCCATTGGAGACTATTTTGCAGAACAGCCGAACAAGGACTTGGACCCCATTATGGATTTGTTGGCTCTTTACCAGGGACACTTAGCAAATTATCCAGACATCATCCATGTTCAAAAAGGTAAAGTATACCTTAATACAACAAAGCTTAAACATGCACTATGTAAGTTTTTCGGTTGAGAGCCTGTCACCTGCTGCCTCATGGAAATGTTTGCTTTGCCTGGAATGTTCCACAGTGTGTTATGATTTCAGGTAAAACATCTTCATGGAGAAAATAAGTTTTTGGACTATACACCTTAAAACTGACAGTACCCCTTTAATTCACTAGACAAACACAATAACCAGTTTTTCTATACTCCACAGTGCCTCACTTGATCTTAATTTCATTTTATCCTCATATGTCTAAAAGGAAATTTTACCACATTCACTTTTAATTTATACAACATTATAGATCTATATTGCACCTTATTTTTTTCTCTTGAGAGGGGGGAGGGGACTGCGATGTTTTGGTTTTCACCTGTTGAATTTAGACCCACTAGTTTCCTCCAGTTGTAAATGGCCAGATCACCATCAGTATTTCAGTCCAATTATGAGTTGTTATGCAACTGGAAAAACAATGTCATACCAAGGAGGAAGGATGTTTTAAGTTTTGTCATCACATGTTGCTTTCCAGTTTAAGAATTCTACAAACTGCCCTGCTTTGCTATAGCTTTAATTCTACATACTTATACGCATTCCTAATCCTATGATTTATTATACTGCTCTTAATACCATTAACATTTAAAACTGAACTTTAATATGTGGAGCAAACAAAGCCTAAACATTTAGCCTAGAGACCAGTCAGGTGACATATGCATTGTTCTATCAAGATAATAAGACCAGTTTGATTTGACAGAAACACTGAGTCAATCACACTAAGGCCAGGGAGGGCGGTAACATATAGGACCATTCTTCTATTATGATGAATAGCCTTGTGGCCAACTGTGCTTTTAGCTGAACATGTGAACAGCAGCAAGTGCACATCCTTTGTTGTGTTAAACCAAGTATTTCCGCAAAAGAAGAGGTTGGTCAAAATGTATTGTTTAAAGTAGGTTAGTGAGAAGCAAAAATAGGAGATAGTGTTGGCAAGTTTTAGGTTATAAAAGATTTATTGAACAAACCAATACAGAATTTAACCTGCCAATTGTTTGTTTCCAGTACTTCTCTTCTGTTGGATTTCAAAGTGTGGCTGCATTTCCTATTGTTCAAACAAGATAGCGCTTTTGGCAGATAAGAAATTAGGTTACTTACTGCCGTGTTAAAACTATAACACGTTTTATTTTCACCCCACTATTTACAAAGTTGTCCTGAAAAGACTACTTTGGGTTATTGTGTTGTAGTTGAAAATAATCCTGCGCTGATGAAGATTTATTTGGTCCATTTAGTCTTGTTTTCCTGTTCATTATCTGATTCTGTCTAAACAACAGTGGCAGTTGTTAATGCACACCAACATCAGATTATTATATGATTTCTTTATGATTATGTAAATGACATGCAAACCACAAAATCTGATGTGAGTAATCAGACTGTTCATGACTCGGAAGAAATCTGATTATTTTTCTGTTAGATGTCATTTTAATAGTCCATCTTTCTAGATAGCTCATAATAAGCATTAGTCAAATTTTGAGTGCACACGTGACTCTACCCTGCCATCTAAGGGGCTGTCTGTCAGTCCCTCAAATAAGATCTAAACAGAAGTTCTAGGTGGAGACTACAGCCCTAGTCTGACTGGCATTAGTAATGATTGGTAGTGGTTGTTCAGGTCAATGGTGTTCAGTGGCTAATGTTACATAAGCATTACGTAAGCCCCACATCCAGTGAGCCCAGTCGGCTGTGTGCCACCTCCACACGCCCAAGGAACAGCACTCCTTCACTCTGGTCTAGTCATAGGACCATAATTAAAATTTTGTGCCACAATCATCATAGTCAAAGAAATTTTGATTAATGATAATATAATGATAATCAGAAGTGAGTCAAAAAATTGTATGTTATGATTTTCTTGGAGCTAGATTTTGACTGTATTCCATTTCAAGTATAGCATGTGCCTTGTAGGTAACTGAAGTTATCTGCTTCTTCTGAAAAGTCACGTCATTGCATTTGGTTAAATCCAAATGTCACTCAGTATTGCTGAAGGTGTGGGTGGGTAAGTGTCTGGGTGTTGGCACAGAGCTGCATTCAAGAGACATTGGTGAATCACAATGTGGCAATTTTACAAAAAAAAACAGATTGGATGAAGGATGAGCTCACAATTAAATTTTTCTTACCACATTGCACAGTTTAATATTAGTAATTGCAATTTTAATATGAATAAGTTCCATGTTTAAACAACTATTATAGTATTGTACTTATAATATATATAATATAAGCAGGAACAGCAGCATGGATAACATGATTGATAAGTAGCTTTTTCATCCACAGTCTGTTGGTATAATGAACAAGCATATATAAACAAGCAATATAATTGTTTATTGTCCCATCCCTATTCTAGTCTTAGAGTCCTATAACCTAATATGATGCTGCTAGCAGATTCTTCATCAGATCTTTTTTCACTAGATTTAGAATAGGTTTAAGATGGATGTTCTTATTGGCACAACCTACCTATTGATCTGTTACTAAAAATGCCTTTGGTTTTGTCTGGAAATATGACAGTTATCCTCTACTGCTAAAGATGTATCTTGAAGAATTCTGTTAACTATTCATGGAAAGTTGTAATTATGGCAGATGATTGGAACTCATTAAATAAACTGGAGAACTTAATGTTTACTAAATTCATGGCATTAGCAGTTTAAGATGATAAAGGGTTAAAGCCTTGATACTATAATTAGCGAGGGAGAGATCTTAGTTCAGCTTAATATTTATTCCAGTGATATGTGACACATTAACTCCACCATTATGCAGTGAATGTGAATATGTCTGAGTGCTTGTTTTGTGTTTTGCATTTGCCAACAGGGCTTGCAAGCAGCAGCAGCAGCTGTGAAAATGATTCCCTCCGTTCATTGCACTTTGCTGACACTATTACCACAACTGAACCCCTGCCTTTCTTGTATAGTTTCTATGGCAACAATTAGCCCTCCTTAGTGCATTAGTGAGACTTAATGCAATACACATAAAGATTATGAACGTGCACCTTGAAGCCTGGCATTTGTGAACACAGGGACATTTGCTCAGGTTTAGAAAAGATGTATGTTTGTTTCCGTATTTCATTACGGAACATCTTGCGAGTGTGGGTTTGGTCAACCACCAACCAAAGCAGAACTTACTTGTTTTGAGTCTTCCTGGTACCGCAATTTAAGTTACACATTTCAGTTTTTGTATCTCAATATACTATGTCATTTTCACAAGATAAATTATGACTATATGATTCAGTACCTCTTTTTCAATTAGCTGATAAGTTGTCTTTGATCCACAACTAATCTAAGTGAATAATTTTGTCTGTGGACAATTGTGGACATTTCACAAAATATATTAATTATGGCATGAATGACAATGCATTCAACTTTACAAATAAATAGCTCAAAAGCATGAGTCACCAAACAATAATGCACAAGTACCTCCATTCTACAGAAACTTGTGTGGTCTGTCACTGTGACGCACCATTTTTCATTTCTCATTACAACATAACTCAGACCCTAAGATGGGAGGCTATAAGACATCATGTGGGCCCATGACTAACATTACTGTTTTCATTATAGGTTCAAGGTCGCAAATATTATTTTAAGGGTTATGCATTTCCTCAAAATGCCTAAGGGTTAGCCTTAGCTTTTAAATGTGTAACAATTAGCACATGGACCTGAGGCTGTATACTCCACCATAATAATGTGTTAAAATATTATTTGAACACCAGAAGGATATTGCTGTTTGCTGTTAGCCTTGTGGCTTATCCTTTGGTTACACTTTATTTGCTGAGAACATCACATGAAACGTACTTAGGACCAACTACTGCTATTTGCACATTTGAGCTCTTTCAAAAATGTCAGGACTTTTGGTCAGAACCTGAGCTTCCTTCTCGCCCAGTGGTTTGTCTGGAAAGTCGTGGGCTAGCTTTGGTCACACACCCTTATGTTGGAAATGCCACAAACCTCAGCTCTGTGACTGCAGAGGTAGCAGTTCCTGGCTTATTCAGCTCTCACTATGAGTATGAGAGTAATAAAGCTAGAGGCTTATTGTGTTTAGTCATATCATATGAAAACAATACAGAACAAATTGATGCCTAAGACCTTAGTTCCATCTGTCTAGTAATTGCAAATTAGCAGAACTGAAACTGCTGTTACTGAAAGCTTTGCAGATGTATTAAACATTTTCCCTTAAATGGCATAAAATATAATAAGCACTGTATTTTTAGCATGGGGCAGGCCTAACAACATTGAATACTGGCGTTATTTGGATTTCCCAGGAGGTGGAGTGTGCTAAGAGCTCTCGGGCTATTTTGGTTAATATTGCATTTTTAGATCAAAATGGAACAGTTATTGTATTTTTATGGTTAGGCATCCATTGTTTTCCACAACACATTTGTAAAATGAATTGGCAACAAAGATAGACAACAATGTTAAATAAAAAAATTAAAAAAATAGCATACTGAAGCTTTATTTTTATTCTGTGTTCATTGTAAATGTGTTGCTTATTCAAATGAGCTATTATGTACAGCCGGGTCTTTCACTTTATAATCTGAGGTCTTGTCAATAGAATGTTGCTGTTTATGAGCTCCTTTGACATGATTTTTAATGATTATGTTCTTGATCATTTTTATGACTATCTTTCCCTTCAGGAGCCTTGACCAAAGTGAAGGAGAGTCAGAAGCACGTGGAGGAGGGGAAGATGGACCCATCTCAGGCTGAAGGCATCAATGAGCGCTGCAACATCATCTCCTGTGCCACACTGGCTGAAATCCAGCACTTCCACCACATCAGAGTCCGAGACTTCAAGGCCCAGATGCAGCACCACCTCCAACAGCAGATTGCCTTCTTCCAGAAAATTACCAGCAAGTTAGAGGAGGCTTTACAAAAGTATGACAATGCTTAACAGACAGATCATTGTCAAACTGGTGTGAAGACATACAGACCTATAGGGGAGCATGACATACAGTGACATAATCAAATGTGCCTATAATGTGGACTGATACAAATGTCTGTGCCATTTATAAATGGAATATGAAGTTACCAATCCAACAAAATTTCAAATCTAGTAATAATGAAGGTGCTTAAATTGTGTCAAATGGTTGTTAATACTGAAGGCCTGTTGCGGCAATCCCAGGTATTAGCCTTATAACTCTATTTTAGCACAGCAGTAAAATGAAGGATTAGCTCCTGTGGCTAACATGCACACACTGCCTTCTGGTAAATCCATGCTGTGGAGTGCCACCCTAAGTTCTCCTTGTTTACAGTCAGCTCGCCAAGCAACCGCTGCCCCTGTCACGCGGTGCCTTTTGACATTACTGTCAATTTGTTTTTAATTACTAAATAACCTTATATACCATTTTAAGATAGATACTATTATTTCAGTTTTTAGCATATAGTGCGCTGATGCTTCACAGGTTGTGCAATTTTAGGAGTTACTGATTTCAAGCACACAGCGTGACTCTCTTGGGTAACAGGGATTCAGACTCATGCAAAAGACACTGATTATAAAAAGATGATGTCTCATAATGGTGTTGTCATTGTTTACAGATGAAGAGATCTTTTATTAAAGTTTTATAGATGTTAACCTGGTGTCACAGGAAATGAAAATAAATTCATTTGCTGTAATCTAAAATAATTTTGTCTCTGCCATTGTCTAATTTAAAAGAACACACACATGATCCTAGAGGTGTACTGCGTTTCATATAGGCATCACAGATGTGCTGACAGAGCAGTGCAGGGTGCCAGACTGTTAAGTCACAGCTCACTGTGAACAAGCTAATCATTTCACTGTTCTACCATAAAGTCAGAAACAAAGTAAAGCGATCATAGCCTCATAAATCTGATTCATGCAGTTCTGCAACTCTCAATATCCCACAATTTTTCTGGCATAAGCTGTATGCTAAATATGTGTTGACATAATGTGTAATTTCTATATGTTTAATAAGCATTCTTTCTTATAATTTTTCATCATAAATTCTTTATTGAGTTACTAAGATCATACCCCGAGTTTGTGTATGTGCCAAGCCCCAAGGAAATAGGTGCTCCATTTTTGGTGGCCCTTTCATGCAAGTAACTCAAGACAGCTTTTTTTTTTTGTTTACAAGACCTTTTAAACATAATCTTGTAAGATGAAAGTTCCATATAAATTCTTAATACTCTTAATATGTCCTCTATTACAGTGTCTTGTAAAACTTCTGAGTTGCTGCATTTAGCCCAACTTTGGACTATTAATATAATGTCCAGTGTAAAACCCTTCCAATGTACTCCAGTGGACAATGATGTGTACACTGGTTTATGTTATTATTAAAGAAAAGTAAGCTTCGAATATCATCATCATAACATACAATTGCAAAACTGTCTTCTTCATTAGTGATCCTTGACTGTGTTCATGCTGAGTTCTCAGAAGTTGCTGTAGTTAAAATATCCTTACTCATGTACTTGCAGCCGGCTCTGTTTTGTCTCTGTTGAGGAATGTGCATGGACTCAGCAGATTTGTACAGAAGGAGCTCAGGGATCCATCTGGTTCCACTTAGACCTGAGCCTTTGAACTGAACCGGGCCAAAGAGGACTGACCTGCTCCTGACTCTCGCACAGTGCTCATAGTGCACACTCACAAGGCGAATTCAGTCAGATGCCCTTCATGTTATCAGCTCTGCCTGTATTAGATGTGCACACACTGTACACTGCAGGTCTAAAAGGTTTAAAGCAGCTTGTTGATAGCTCACCATTTAAGGGTGTGGTGACACTTCCTGGTTTGGTCCTGGTTTGAGCCCAGTTAAGTCCTGATGTAGGCTTGGTTTGGTCCTGTTCTAGTCCTGATTTAGTCCTTGTCTAAAATTTTGAATACTTTTAGATTAAATACTCAATTGTCAATTTGAACATATTATAATATATTGTGGTTGGTTGATGTGGTCCTCCCATAACAATAAGTGCATTGATTGTCATAGAAAAGGAAATAGCTCCTCCAACATAATTTCCATGTTGTTAGCACATTCAGTTCATTCATAAATGCAAATGCTGAACCAACACATGTCTTTACGCATGCTCAAATGTTCACTCTATTTGACTTCTACTGGAACTACAATCTACACAACACAATATATTTCCTCTCTCTCTTGAATTAATTAATCTAAAAGCCTTAGCATAAAGTTGAGTAAAATGGGCCTATGACATCAGTGAGGCACAGACTGTACCCTCTCTGCCCAGTGTCCAGAGGAAGCGTCCCAGACCAGCCCCACCCGCCCTGCAAACACTGGTTCTGCCTTATGTCATCAGTTTAGTTTTTTTAGCATCAGGGTTTGAATAGACACATGAGAAGACTGGAAGTGGTTGAACTGTGACCAATATGTAAGAAAGGTCAATATCGTGCAACATGAGGCAACAATAGATTAATGGAAGCGTTCTGCAGGTTAGAAATATATGATACCTGTATTTCAGACTGCAGGAGATAGGTTGTATAATATTTTTCATATAAATATGTTTATTTCGGGGCTAAATAGTGCTGATTCTAATACCACAACGGTATTGCGGTTTCAAACGTTCCACTGATTATTGCACTAGTATGTAACATTTCTGGTGTAGGGTTTGCCACCTGCTTGCCTCCATGGAGATGTTATTGCTTTGCCTGCATGTTCCACAGTATGTTATTTAAAGTTTCCTTGTTTAATTAAAAAAAAACAAAAAACTTTGAAAATCATGAAATCTTATTGTGAGCTGGGTCGCCTCTTCACAAATCTGACCAGTTACTTGACCTGATAATACCACCTGCTTAGAATAACGTTCCCATGGAGACAAGCAGATAGCAGACTCTACCAGGAAGTTACATAGTCCACCTTTAAAATTGTTACTTGATACTTTACCAGTTACTTTATCAAACAAATGATGCTTTCTTTGGGCTTGTTATTTCACCCAAACTATGTTCTATTGCCTGACAGCACAATTTGCTTTGAATGCTTTAAAAGTCCTTTCTACACTGATAGTTGAGGAATTTCTCAGTTTTACAGATTACAGAGTTAAAATTAGATGCAACATTCCTTCCCATATGTGAAATCCTTATCTGCTTTATTAAAGGCCCCTTGGAGACTAAAAAGATACAAGAACTTTTAGGAGTAATTTCTAGAAGAGAAACAAAACACAGATTTGTCACATTTCATCAGTGTAACAAAGTTGTAGAGATTGTTGTGTTCCTGGTAAATTGTTGACGAAACTGGGAGCAGGGTACATTCTTTGGTGGCGTTTTTTGTTTTTACAGCGCACACAGGAAGCTGGCTCTCTCTGGTGGGGCCTCATTCATGTTGTCTGAAAACTGCTGACTGCCCTCCTCCTCTCTGGCTCCTCTCCAACACAAGCACACAGTTTTGTCTCTGTGGGACACTGTGCATTCTCCCCTCCCCCAGACCATATCGCAGATTACATTTATAGCATTGATTAAAATACACGGACAAACAGGCTGCAGTGTACCTTCACTGTGTGTTTTACAGGAAATGAACTGTTTTCCATAATTTGTCACTGTTTGAATCGAGGTACATGAAGTAGTCTGGATCTGTATTTGTATTTGAGAGGAAAAACTAGTACCACTTTAAGACAACTACACTTTATTTTAGTCAGTTAATAATTCATAATGAATAGTTTATTGAGAATGATTCAAGCTTAGTAACTTCTTAATTAAGGGATTGGGTTAAGGTGTTATAATTAAAGACTCTGAACCTTTCTTAATAAACTATTTATTCATTATGAAGTAAGTCTTTATCCATGATCTATTAAAAGAAAAACTATTAGGACTAATACCAAATAATACAATTCCTAGGACTACCGCTATTATTTCCCTACTTTCCCTATTTATATCTTAGGTCCATTAAATGTACTTTACCACATTTACTTTGGCTTATTAAGTAGGCCTATATACCATAACTTGTCCTGACTGTTGTTATGTGCCTAACCACTGAACACAGCTGACCCCAGGGATTGAATGCTTCATTTCCGCCACAAGCATGAACTGCTGACCGCTCATAAAGGCAGAACACACACAACCTCAAATGACACTAAACCGCATGTATAGTAGGGATGTGAATCAGCTTTTAAAAGACTGTCAGAAGAACGCATCAAGAATGCATTGTGGTAGATAGGTCTATAATTATAAGAAATCAATATTAAAGATGCATTATATAACTTCGGGTGAAGGGTAAGCCACCTGTTTGATATAATTAATTTGCCTGAAATGATCCACAGTATGGCATAAAACATATAGATCTGTGCATGTCTTCGAATAATATTATTTGAATAACATTAGTATAGTATTAGTACACTGTAAAGAATTTCTCTGTAAAATAACAGTAAAGAGCTGGCAGCAGAGACGCCTGCACATTACTGTTATTTAACAGTATTTGTACTGTGAATTCACCTCACGGCATATTGCTGTAATAGTGAATTACAGTATATTTCTGTATTTTTTTAAATTTACAGTAAAGTTCTGGCAGCAGAGACGCCAGCACTTTACTGTTATTTTACAGTAATTTGACTTTACAGCTTATTATTGTTTTGGTGAAATACAGTATATATGTGTGCTTTTTAAATTTACAATTAACTACTGGCAGCAGAGATCCTCCAATATACTGTAATTTTGTAGTTTCCATACTGTTGACCAATTCACAGATCATAACCTATTACAGTAAAAATAAAATGCAGTATTTCAGTGATTATTTTAATTTACAACATCCTTGGGTTACTAAATGTTTACTGTAGCCAGGCATAATACAGTGACTCAGCACTTTAGAATATCTAAAATCTCAAAATTCACTGCAATCAAAATTAAAATTGTTCTGTGGACTATGGCTTAAACCTATGCATAATAACCAATAAACAATTTACAAAGGATATAAATCACACAAATATTTATTGAAACAGGCATTGTCAATATGAATACTGTTACTGTAAAATACAATAATAATACAAAATAATAATAATAATAATAATAAACAAAAAAGATGTTACATGACAAGCCAAAGAGATTCTGAGTAGCAAAATAAAAATAGCCAAATAGTGTCTGCAGGATGCAATGGCAATTAACAAAAAATTCTCAGATTGCATGTCAGAGACCTTACCAAACATGAAAGCACAAAAGTTGTAACTGTTTCCATACTATTGTTTAACAAATACCATACTGAACTTTACCTTGGATCAACCAATTGGGCCAAACACTGAGGCGACTAATACAAAGGAAATGAGTGTTTAACCTAGAAAGAATTAAGGAATGCTTATATGCTCTCAAAAGGCAGTTTAAGTATAAATTTACTCCAGTGTATTCTCTGCTGTTTGCAAATATGCATCACTAAGAACATCTAAAAGTATGTATCAATAACAACATTTGTAAAACACACTTTTCCAAGATTTTGAAAATGTATATTAAGACAATTGTGAAAATACACATCAGTAAGAACTTGTCGAAAATAGGCATCAATTACAACATTTGGGAAGAAACTGTAGGTAAGCTGTTTTTTCCTAGTCCTGTGAGGTACATGTATATGTTCTATCAAAAAGCAATTATATCTACAGCATATAGATTTACTGGAATGTATTATCTGCTGTCTATAGAACTATACCTCAGTAAGAATTTCAGTCAATGGCAACATTTGGGGG